CACCAGTTATCATTGTGACACTTGTACTGCAGATAGGCTCATTTGAATCACTTCTCTGCCTTTTCACCCGCAGGTGGTCGTGTTCCAGCAGATGGTGTAAAAATTACTCAAAAGATTTATCATGAGGGTATAAAGACGACTGTTTCGTTCTACGTTTTGGCCTCATGCGGTATACTGCTTTGTTTGTTCTGTCTGCTGTTCAACTTCAAATATAGAAATCACAGGTAATTTGAAGCTCGAAGGACATTAAGCGAAATTCCCGCTAGCATTTCGCACAATTTGAGCCGGTTTCTGAAACAGTGGCGTTCCCCCTTTAGTTATTTCGAGAAAAATGCTACTATAGTCCTGCTTCTATCAATTGGAACGTCAAGGGCAGGTTTTGAATGAAACCACTGGCTTGGTCCTGAAGAGAATTTGAACCATTTTGCCTAAAAATTCTAACAGTTTAATCAACATTATCTCTTTTTCGATGGGACTATTTTCTGAAAGGAATCGAAAACTGTGCTACGCATACTGATCATAAAAAAGTGAAGTGTCTCGAGCCACCTCATAACAGCCTTTCAATTAGATTTTTGGTTTTTATTTTTGTTAAGAGTATGACTTAACATGAAATTATTGTCATTCAGTCCACTGTAAGATGCATGGACCAATATATTACAGTTAAATGCTACTTTCAATTCTACATTTAAAATATTGGCTATTTGAATCGATTGAAACTGAGAGGTTGTGGAGGGAAAGGTATTCAAACGTTTACCTCACAGGTAGATGAAAGTCATTTAGAAAGATAGAGGTATACACCCTAATTTTGGTTTGTAAAGTTATGATATCATGAGTTTAACTTTTTTTCTTTCTGCAGTTTCATAAGAATGTCATCTCCGAATTTCAATAACATCACTGTCATTGGATGTATGTTGGCTTACTTGGAAATATTTTTGTTGGCCCGCGGTACCTCTGGCTCAGCGGAACACTTGAACCATGCTATCCTTTGCAATGTAAGAAGTGTTTGTAGCAAGTCAAGATCGAAAAACTCTTCTTTTTAAAAGAAATTAGATCTTCCCCTTGAGTTTTCTGTGCTTTTGATAAACTAATAAAGGGATTTTACAATATTTATTCAATAAGACTGTGATTTATGACACTAACTTAACTTAAATAATTGACGATTTTAAGTTGATAAAATAAGTTTTTTGATATTTCAAGAGGATTTTAAATACCTGCTGTTTTTCTTGGTTGTTTAATGATATCCCTAAACAATTTTTAATAAATTTTGATGAGAACTTGTTACCAACTAGATGACGATCTAAACTTACAAGAAGTATGAGATGTGCCATTTCTTAAAAGTAATTATTTGTTGGCATAGGTTGTCGCGTTTTGTTCCTGGTAATGATTGTTTTAAAATATTGTCGGATAACGATTGGCTTTTACCATCTTTAGGTTACTGTCTGGCTTCTGACCACCAGTTTTACCTTCGCCTTTGGTGGCATTTTTGTTAAAACCTGGAGAGTTTACAAAATATTTACCAACTATCAATTGAAAAAGGAGGTGAGGAAAGGTTATTCCTGCTTTGTATTGATGATGGACTCGAAGCAGGCGTCAGCCATTTATTTTTCTTTTAAATTTTATTTAGATCCCCAATTTGGGTAGTATCAGTCTTCTCGCAATACTGTTGGCCGGTTGGTCTATAGACGTCATCTTCCTGTCAACTTGGACATCTGTTGACCCATTGACGACGAAATTCGTGATAATTTCCAAGACGGTAAATATAGTGTTATTTTTGGCATGAGTTATAATGGGTAGTGTTCACACATGCATTGTGGAAACCAATATAAACGAAGAAAAGGCTCTTTTTTATTTGCCAGGATCGTTATACAGTACAATTCTGGAGTTTTTATCATGCATTATCATCTGGTTTCTGTTGCTGTTCAGTTTAATTTGTTGTTTCTTGGAACAAAGTAAAGTCAAAAAGATTTATCGGTCTCCACTAGCACTCAAATATTTATGTTAACTAACAGCATCTCATATTTGAAGCTCGTTTTCTTGAAGATTTTGTCAAGAGACGAAATTATATAAAATTTGAACGCCAAAAGTGGCACACATGGTGCAGCTGAGTGTGTCTCCGATGTTCTCACCAATTTGACATCTCTTGTGATCTAGTTCTGTACAAACCCACGACAACATGTAGTCTATTTTTGCAAACGCAGAGTTACGGTTCCTATCAAAGACCGTGTATCATTTAGCTTAATGAGTAAATTGGGGTAATCAAGACTTTTGTACGTTGTTACAGGTTGACAATAATGACCCTGACCTCGAGGAGGAACTTTTAACCCGTCAGTGTACTTCTCACTACTATAATACCTGGGTGATGTCTTTGTGCGGGCTGAAAGGGATACTGTTGATTTTCGGTGTGTTTTTGGCCTGGGAGACCAGAAACGTACATTATCCTTCGCTTAACGATTCGAAGAGCATTGGCTTAGCAGTGTACAACATGTTCATGCTTTCTTGCTTAGCGATTGTGGTTGGGTTTGTGGTTTGTCCTGCTCTTAAGACTCTGGTTCAAAGATCGATCGTGTTCGTGGCAGCCACGTCGACAGTTGCCCTACTCTTTGTCCCAAAGATAAAGGTTTACATGGCCCTCTCTGCGTCTGCAGAAGTCTCACGTGACTTTACAAGTCATGTATCTGATAACTTGTAATAGACAATATAGATATGATTCAGTGGAATGTGCGAGATTCACAATGTTTTGACACCGCCGACAGCAAGATACAAGATTTCATAGTTACTCATTTGTTAAAGAAATGGACGCGAGTTTAAAGGAACAAGTCTTTAGATGGCAAACTTCGCCCTCTTAAAGAGTACCTCAGAGGGGTTAACCGATAGCCATAAGACAGCCAAAAAATTTAGGCGTTAGACGTAAAAATTGTTAAATTAAGTCGGGAGAAAAGTTAATTAAAAATGAAATTCTGATGACCACAATGGAAAGATACCGTTAAAAAATGCACTGGGCTCAATTTTTGAAACGCTATCAATTTTACCCGCGCTCTTTTCATTTTCACCTTATGATCTTAAAAGCCACGAGCATTTTCTTCTGACTGACCAAGTCTTTTTCTAACACATTGGTTCATGAGTGGGCTCAGCATTGTTCATCGAGCTATGAAGCGCATGGAAATTTAGAGAACACGACAAATCCATTCGAGGTGCAGCCGTCAGGAACTCGAGCTCCTCGAGGCATTTTAAAGATGGTTCATAACAGAGTTCCCTCTTTTGTGATCCATCAAAACAGTCCTATCAAATTGAAGCTTTTTTAAGTAATAAGAGTAATCGAGCTTCATTTTCATAAGGCTTTTAGAGATCCAAAGAAAAAGACAGGATAATGTTGTAATTACTTCATGAAGGTGCTGAACACGACACGTTGATTTTGCTGAGAGATTTAGTAATTTACTAAGTGAGTCGATGTGGAGTCCTTTTCTTAACACCAATGAGAGTCTAACTTAACAATACAAAAATTAAATAGAGTTCATATAATTAATTTAAATAATTACAAAGCCCTTTTCACTCGGTAACCACTGGACGTGGTCAGTTTGTTATTTCACCAACACTTCTTTCAGCAACTTCTGTATAATAAGAGAAAAAAATTATCCAAAAAAAAAAACGATTTGGAGCATCTTGTTTTTCTCATTGCAATGCGCTATCTTCGCATTGTTACACTTCATACCTTCCTTGGAAATTAAATACTTGCCACCTCTACAATTAAATAGTTAGCACTAAAGTGGATTGCTCAAAAATATTTTTTCATCGTCTTTAGAAGACGACCTTTCCTCTACTATGATTTACATGCATTTTACGATACTGTTTATATGCGTGCAAAAATTTCATGGAAACATTTTACTGTATACCTAGGCAAGCTTAAGGCTTACAAAGAATTGATTGTTTTTGTTAACAGACTTTCAAGTATACGACAGGCAACTGATATGAGGTTTCTGTCTTGACATTTCAAGGTAACATAAACTATGACTGCTGTACCATGAGAGCGAGGAAAATTCATGATGTAATAGAAACGAATGAGCTATCAAAGAAATGCGAATGGCGGCTTCAATCACAATAGCAATTTTCTCCACGTAATAATCCATACAATTTAAAAAAAACTATGGTTAGTTTTCACAAAAACGCTGACCGAAAAAACACGATTTTAATCCACCGCTGACCCTCGCCATTCCTGTGGTCTTTACCAGAACAAATCGCACTGATCGCAGAGACGGACATTTTAGTTAAGGGGCTCAGTTCATCACATTACTTCGAATCAATATACGCGCCAAATACAGTGGCATTGAAATCGTATAAAACTTTAAGATTATCATTTGCCGGCGTAAACAAACACCAAAGATGTAGAAGTAAACCAAAATAAGAATGGAGAGGATCAACGCGGATTTTAAATAAAGAATATCACGAAGGTGTGCACACCGTGAAGTGTTTCATTTGAAGAATTCAGTCCACCACAAGAGGTTCGAGGAAGTCCCTTTCCACAACGCGTTCCAATAAACTTTTACTTTGCGAGGATTTAGACTTGCTATTTTTGCCCCGCATTTCGCCGCAGCCAGAGTACCTGTCCCTAGACAAACACTTAAAAAAGGGAAGCAGCTGATCCAAAGATTTGATTTGGTACATGGTCAGCAACGGTTCTCCTGGTACACGCTGTAGCTCTTCTACATCAGCTTGATCTCTTATCCTCTTCTGAAGCAGTTTTTCCAAACGAGCGATATGAGGCTTAAAAACTGGAACCTTTTCCTCTCCAGCGGTCATGTTATACGCTTCCCCTTCAAACGCCCAGCGATAGAGTTGAAACTGTGATAAATAATCACTAGGCAGAGCCTGGGACAGATCGAGAAGTTTACACACCGCAAGGTACAACCCAAGCCACTTTTCCTGACTGTAGTTCACATACCCATTTGAGCCGAGAAGTAATTCGGATATAACCATTCTCTGCTTGTGTGACTTACCGTCAGAACCCAGGTCACTTTCCATTTGAAGTAACACGTGTACAACTTCTGATACAATCGTCGGCCACAGTGGTGTCAGATGCTGCGCCGACATGCGCAAAATAAGCACACGGAAAAACAGGAAGATTTGCTCGTGTACAACTGGAGACTGAGGTAGTCTCAGGCTCTCAGCGAGCCGTTCCTGTATTTCTGGCAGAACGTACTGGTACTGATCCACCTCGCTGCAGAAAATTGTAAACGACAGCTTCTTTAAAAGCTGAGCACGCTGCTCCATTTCCTGTAGCACAGACACACAAAATAAATAAATAGATGAATAAAAAAAGAACTAAACAAAATTAATATTGGCAAGGTCAATGCCTCAAAACTTCGCCTAAAAAGCACATTGTTTTGACACATGGCTCATAAGTAGCCAATTTTATAGAGTAATGCCACATAGACGATGGATTGCTCTATATATCAGTAAGAGAGCATTAGATCGCGAAATCTGGTTTGGATCCTCCCTGGAGACTCGGCACATTTCTTTGTCCTAAGCTCATCAAACATGTTTCAAGTTATCTTACTTAATCAAAACACAATTTCGCTTGCGATATCCCTGTGGCTTTCAGTTTTATATAAACTTGTTAAACTCGAAGAGATATAGAAAATAATTTCTGTTAAGGGATAAACCTTGCTAGACATAAGGTAGCTCAAAGTTTGAGTAAAAGTGACTCTGGAATCGCAGTTGCTAAGACACCAGTTTCATCCCCTTGACAGACGCTTTTTACGATCAAGAATTCACTCAAAAGAAGCACTCGCCCAATCTTGGGTCATTAACCTTTTCGAAACATGCAAAACTAGCTTTAGCTTGAAGCTAGGTAAGACAGGAAAATACAAGGAAAGAAAAATCCTGAGAGAACGAGAACGGCTAAGGATGGAAAAGGTTACGACTGACTGCACATGCTCAACGTGAAAAACTTTAGCCTTGATCTTCAAGATGCTGCCTGATAATGGAGTGCCTTTGGGAGTCCCTAAAGATGTGACCAGAAAAGTCATATCAAGTAAAAAAAAAAATTTAAAGAAACTAAATTACCTGTTCCCTGTTAGCAAAGATGTTAATAGAAGCACTTTGACTCAACCCAGCCACTCGTGCCATCAGCTCTTTAAATGACGTATTGTCTTGCGTCATCAAGTTGTCAATAATCGTTCGCCAACTTCCAATACACGAGATATCCATCTGGAAGAAACTCGGGTCCAGTAATAGCTCCATAACCTCTTTTTTCCAGGCACGTCGAGTGTACTGGTACCCACTTAAGGAAGCTAAGAGGTTACAGCATGCGCGGAAGCTGGGTACGTTGTGTGGACTGGAATGGAATGAAGCCCAAAAAATATAATTCAATGGCGAAAGTAATCCGTGATTTTAATGGCTCTCTTTTATTCGCCCTTTGATTGTTCAAAAAGAACCAGCGCCGCTCTCAGTTTAAATTAATCACTGGGTAGAACTAAAACCTTAAAGTCAATGGCGTTTTCCTGTGGCTACGACAAATCTCTTGTTTTACTTATGCGTAATAAAAAGAATAGAATGGTTACAAAGCCCAAAATATTTCTCTGTTACAGATGTCTGTTAGGCTTTTTGAACCTGACTGTACATAACGTATAATAGCATTCGGTTCACTTGAAACTAAATGACGTATAGAATCCTCAAAATAATTATTCGATCACAATGTGTGTACACATAAACAAAAGGTTGTACACGGTTCAAGACCTTGCAACATAAACTGTGGCTATCTATACCCTGATTTTCATAACCACGCTTCCCCAAATACTATGCTTTCAACTTTCCTAGACTACGTGTGATGTCTACTTTAAATTGTACTGATTGGCTCCTCTGAAGGAAGCCACATGGTCCCCCCTAAGCGAACCCAGAAACTGAGACTGGAAAAGGCGACGAAGGACCACCAAAGCTTTAGCAGACGTCCATGGCAACGTTATACTATAACCTACCTGTGATTTTTGAGAAACGGAGTCACATTGTACATCACAGTCGTAAGAAAACTCGTCATTCGTTCCTTCTCGTCGCTTCCAAACACCATGTCCAAAACTGGGGCAAGAACCTCGGCCAATACGTAAAGGGCTTGAGTACTATAGCTGCTAGTATTGCTTGCGGTGCTACCACTCGGCACACTTGTAGGTGGTGCCGCAGGCTCAGCTTCGGAAGTTTCAGAATCCATGTTACTTGATTGGTCTGAAGGGACTTCCGGTTGTGGGATGACAGCCAGAGTCCTTCTGAACCAGGCGGCGTTTTCCAGGGACGATCCCGCCACCGTGTTGCACGCTTCTACAAGACGCTGCGTTATGTCCTGATTGGGAAAAAATAATTAAGGCCTCGAAAAATAAATAAATAATCAGAAAATAAATAAAACGATAGTCATGATGGTGATGAATCAATCACGTCGCAAGACTCTCAATTTACTGGACCGATATCAAGTCAAAATGAGCTCCTCCGTTACCTGTAACTCCTTTCGGACCTTCTTATCCTCTTGTAAGGGAATATTCTCCACGTAAGATCGAAGAATAATCAACAACAGAAAGAGAGCTGGAGGAAAATTGAGTTGAAGTCCTTCCTTCATGAGAGATAGCAGAGACGAACGTACAAGAATTAAATGGCTTTCTGAGGCCTTATGCAAATACTCGAACAAAAACTGTAGTATGTTGACTTCCAGGCCAGCCTGAGTAGGCGTAGTCTTGTCTTTGCTTGTGACAACTTGACGCACGATTTGTTTAACGTTGTCAATCATTTCTTCGACAGACAACGCCTACAAGATAACAGAAACATGCACTTTTTCAGTTTGACTTTCGAAATCTACAACTTTCAATTCGAACTAAAAAATTAAGGCTTCCAAAGAAGATGGAATCCTACCTTGATAGCATAAACGATATCTACCACAATTATCTGATCTTCAGACGCCACTGGAACAGCTCTGACGGACTTTACTCCAGATCCCTCTCGCCTTCGCCTTTGGTACCAAACATCTGCAAGCGAGGCTAGGAACACGATGGTATGATTCATGGTGATCGGAGTCAGCAGTTGCAGAATTTGTTGTCGCACAGCCTGAGTAGAGAAAGAGCAATAAACACGCCTACATAAACGTATCCTATCTTGACTAAGGACGATTTCGATTTGTGTCAATGTAACGAACGATGTAGACACAATTTTAAATAACGAGGGTAGAGTTCAATGGCTGTTTTAAGGACTGCGTGTATAAGAAGTTACTTATACTCACTAACGGGCGCTGATTGGACCGAAAGATTTGTAAATGAGTTTTGTAAATGAAGGCAGTGATTCAACTCGTTAAGGTTACCACGCCTACCTTTGGACTTCCCATCAAGTTGAGCGACCATTCAGATGGTAGCCGCTGGCCAGTTGAATCAGCTCTCTGCGGGCTCCAAGTGCTCCACACGGTAAACAGAGAGGACAGAATCTTGGGAAGGACACTCAGGAGTCCTTCACGCGCGTCTAAAATGTTCTTTGGGACCTCCACACTCGGTACATCACTAACGGGCGCTGACTGGACCGAAAACGCGTGTAGCAGATTGGTAAAGATTTGATTCGAGCCCGTACTGGACTGGTTGGGATCAGGATTAGCAGACACATTTGGAGAAGAGTTAGACCGACCTGCCCGAGGCTTCAGAGAGAGGACTGGTGTCTGGGGAGTCGTATTGTCGCGCAGACAGGAGTGACAGATCGACGCTAAGCTTTCCAGTAAGGTTACCATATAGTCTGGAGGAATACTAGAGCCATCTGCATCAAGGCGTCTGTTAAAAAATACAAAAAGAAGACTGTTAACGACAATTTAAAGTGACTGTCAGAATTAAAGAGGCTGCATTGACTTTCCTCACCGCGCGTAGTCTTGACAAGTCAAATGCAAAAATAAAACTAACGACGACTTAGTAGCTCGCAATTTTCCGCATTTGGAGCAAAACTTGTATCTAAAATTCTCTTTTCTCTTAATATATTTCTTTCGTTCTGATTGGATTGATTCACATTATGTTACGTCGTCAATTGACAGATACTGGTTTCAAAATATTTGGGTAAACAAAGTAGATTTGCGCCACTAAAGGCATAATTTACCAAATTACAACCCCGAAGGCAGGTGAAAGTACCAGGCACCATGTTGTCAGTTTGTTAGCTGTCACATTACCAAGCGTACAAAATATCGTTCACTGTTCTTCCAACATTTACTTATCAACAAGATTTAAACAAGTTTTAGATACCTTTTGCCAAATTCATCGTTACCGTCTCTTCTAGAAGTCCTAGAATCCTTATCCTTGGCGTAAACAGTCGTCAGTCGCTCCAGAATTCGGCACAAATGTTCGACGACAGGCACCACCCACGTGCGCAATTGCATTCCCAAGTGTGACAAGCACGTTATCACGAACTGCAACCACTCATAGTGCATATCGGGCTCATCATTTCTGAGCCCATGAAGAACCGATGACAGTAACATACCCTGCTCTGCCAAAGATTTCCCGGGGATGTACCGATGGGATGACTGCGTCACTTTCGCATCGTCGGAAACCTTCGCAGGACTTTCGGGTTTGCTCGGGGGTGGAGTCCCGTGACCAGCAGCTGTCTCTTGAGAGATGGCTACAGCAGTGTGGATGTTTGACTCGAGAATCAGAACCGCTTGGACAAGTTTAATAAGTTTGATCTGGAAAGCTCGCGCTTGTGATTGGCTAATTTCCGAACTCACGTGCAAGTGACCGGATGTCAGGGTAGGCGAGGTTGCTTTGCTGGAAGTCCTTACACCCGTTCGCTCGTACAGCGTCGAAAGAAGACAATGAAGTAGGGCTTTTTGAACCTTGCAGCGTGAGAACAAGTCACTGATATATGTTCCAAATCCAGCACCGCTTTCCTTTACAACCTCAACCAGTTGCCACATTACACCGAGTAGCAGTTCAGTGCTAGCTAGTTGCACCTGTACATTGCCATCAATATCTTCAGGTTGGACTTGCAAATGACTGGAATACTCGCTTCGGATGAAATACAAACTTACAGAGATAAGCACCTCAAGGTACTTGCTGTTGCTGGGCTTGAGATACATTAAGGGCCCTCCAAACAGTCGTGCACTGTGAGCAGGTCCTGAGATAGAACCAAAAGCTACAGGTGAAAAAAGACACGCATGATTACGCTACTAATGTTCTATTCTATTTAAATTACGACTGCTCCGCAAAAAGAGAAAAAGGGGCATTTTCCGAGATCAGGTTTAACTCGAGTTACAAAGAGTCAAATAAAAGCATTCCATGGCGATTGCCTAGTACCTGAAGGAGAAACAGGGCTCTCGTACAGAGCGCCATAAAATCCTTTCCCCAGTAAGGACCGTCGGTGTCTGATTAATAATTCCTTGATCTTCTCCTGGTGCGGCGTGTTCGATGAACTGATGCTAGTCGTGGATGACGCGCATACAAACTGGTGAGGCGAATGCATTAATATTGTCTGTAACGTAGTAAAGGCGTACAGAGTTAACTGCGAGTCGTAATGTAAGATGTACAGTAATTTGTGCTGGTCAAGAGGGTGCACATGTGATCTGCGCGGGGGAGGGGACTGTGGGGCTTTGACTGGTTCGGTGTCCTTTGGTTTATCTGCAAGACAAAAAAGACAAAGAAAACTGGTGTAAAACATGTGGAATATTGTATGCTATTTTGAACGGGGTTGAACGGAAAGGTACAAGGCTAATACTATTTACCTTTCGTCGGATCGTTTTCTTCATTTTCGTCATCTGCATCGGCTCCATCTCCGTCAGTATCCGTCGAATGTTCGGCTTCACTCGGTCCACTTGGACTGGTTGTTTTGCTTTCGTCCGATTCCCGATTATTCGCCGAAGTTACCTTCGGTTTTTGCTTCACTCTGTCGTTGGACGGTTTGGGTGATGTGTTATTTTCAATTTCTTTCACTGAATGTACTTTTACGTTGTTGAACGTTTTTGTCTCCTTTCTTTTGGTATCGGACAATATATTGGCCATTCTGGAATCGAACAGTTGATACAAATAGTGAATTGAAACTCGCGCTGTGACTGGATGGAGTAACAAAAGAAGAAGAGGATCAATGATTCGTCCCAGGTCCCCGTGCTGCAACGCATGTGCGAGCCAGTGTTGCGTCAAAACCCTGGAAAAAGAACAAAATTCTGAATCAAGCACAAGTTTTGTTCTCCTTTTTGATATAAATCAACACCAAACCAAAATTATTTCATAACAATCAGACAGTCCCATATGAAAGGTTACAACCGCGATTGTGAAAAAAAAACTACAGAACGATGGAATCGATATAAATACAGCTAGATTCAAGCCTTAATTTAACTCACCTTATCTCTGGTTCTTCATTTTGCAGACTATCGACCATGATAAATAACGCCCTAGACATTACATAAAAAAAAAAATTGAACGAGGATCAGCTGCAGAGAATTACCTTTGAGAGAAAGAAGCTGATAAATCGTTTCGTGACCGATTAAAAAAAATCGAATCAGAAAGCAAAGTAAAAGGAAAAAAGGGGGGAAGAAACAAGAACTAAACAAAAAATTATTTTCCACACCAAAAGGGAGAAAAACAGCCACTTCGAAATGACAATTCATAGCAATCACTCGAATTACCTGTCAAGGGTTCGAAATTCTCCGAGTCTTGATGATCTACCAGAATCCTGAATGACGACATTTCTTGCTACGTGCCAAAAAACAGCGAATTTCCAATGACCTTGCAAAGATACCTCCTAACAAGTAAGAGCAAATTTATCAGTCCAATGTCACACGCAATACTACGTAAATATCACGAAAGCGCTGAAAAAATAATAACGTATCTTTCCACCCAGATGAAGTTAGTAATTATAGTATTTACCTTGCTGATATCTATCAAAGAGTTCCCAATAACATTTGCACAAAGTGATGGCGATGCGGTCAAGTTGTGAAGTTGGAGAAATAATTCGACGATTCTCTGATGAAACTGTGTTGTGTCTTCTTTCAACTGATCCCACAAGCTTTCTGCTATCACCTGAAATCAATAAAAAAAGGGGAAAAAGCTAACAGAAACAACAGTTATCTATAGGTTGAGGGGGAATTTCGGAACCAATTGAAAGAGATGATGAATGCAACATCCATTTCTCGTTGAGTTCGACAGTTTGAGGCGTCAGCACTAACAACAGGAGTCACAACTAACAAAAAATTTTACCTCGTACAAACCCGACTTCTCTATCACCCCAAGAGCTTGCTGGGAAATCATAGGGACGACAACTACTGGAGCAGATGACTTGAGTCCATGGGCGTGGCCAGCATTGACTGACAATGTCAAGTTTATTAAATCCAACAGTGTACCAACAGCCGAACTCTGGATGTCAAACTCGCTGACCTCAAAACAACACATGATTAACGACTGTAGCCATTCTGGAAGATTTGAGTCTAGATAGCACAAAAAAGACATCTTTAGTAGAATAGAAGCTACTAGCAGACGTGTGGGGTAGGCAAAGAATTGTAATATCACCGTAACGAAAGATAATTGAGATTTCTTAAAGAACCAGGATATTGCAAAAAATAGTCTAGTTTTCATACTTTACATTTACTCTTATCCCCAATGAGTCTCTATTCTCAGATCTTTGGAGACGTCCCTGCTACCTCCCCCCTTATGCACCTCGTCAATCCCCCCCCCCTCCAAAAAAGCATACATCTGCAAGATTCTTGTTAGCAGTCCGTACTAATCTTTGCCATCCTTAGCCAGCCTCATTCCTTTTTCAAGTTGCATGTTATTATTCCAATTTTGATGTTTTACGATATCACCAGAATTATGTGCTAGTCACAGAAAGTAGCCTAGATACAGGTACAGGGGGACCCATTTTATACAAACCTTCATTGCCATCTGTTGCTGATTTCTCTGATTTAGATTCGTTGCCAGCCCAGACTGGAAAACAAGAGAGCTCCAACAACAGTTTACAAGCTGCTGCAAACGCCTCCGCACAACTCTTGTAAGACTGTACCGATCTGAAGGAGGAAACAAGCGCAGTTGGTCCAGCAACGCTACTTCTTCCTTTCAGGTTCGATTGTGGTTTATAAGTGTCACGTACGAATTTATCCACACGATTGGTTTTTCCTTCTTTGATTTGTTTCCACATGGCATCATTAACAATTCCACTTGCACGTAAAGCTGTGTGGCATTCTTTGTTTAAAATACCTCCAACGGTTTCGTCGCTAAAGCAGAATGAGCTGACATGTTTTAGCACTCGCTGCACACAAAACTTGGCGTAAAAATTCTGAAAATATTTCACGCAGGCTTGAATAAGAGAGGGTTGAAACAAGCGCTTTGTGTCTTTTGAAAGCTTCTTCTCCTCGGATCTGTCAGCTAGAGTCGATTTTTGTTCTCGGCTTGAATCTTCCTCGTTGCTTTCCGGATTCGTGGCGGTTAACTCACTCGAAGATTCGCCTTCTTGGAAGTCGCTCCATTCGTCCAGTTCGTCTTGTGTATCAGTGTCATTAACATTTGCTGCATCAGCTTCACCATTATAGTGCTCGGCCATAGCTACCATTTCTTTCTCACCCGCTGCAACAAGCGATTCGATTTTGTTACCCTCTTCCTTGAAGACCTCGCTATCGGGCGCTTCTTTAACGACTCCCTCTGGAGAATTTTCCAGTGACGTCTCTGAAGGCATGTCACTGCGTCTGCTTCTGTCTCGTGTTCCTTTTAACTCTATAACACCCCACTCGTTCATATCATGTTCAGACGAGCTTTCCAACTCCTTTTTGCGATTTTCACTGTTCACAGATAGTTCAGGCTCAGTCCTCTCTTTCTCGACGGTCTTCATAGATGGCATCACCTTAGAGAGAAGTCTGGAGCACAGTGATATTCCTTCTTTGACATCTCCCAGTGTCATGGTGTCACAGCATTTGGTCATTTCCATCGTTATCCTGCGCAAAAGTTCAGGCCAGTGCTCCGTTTGTATCTCCACATCTGCCTCCTAGATCAAAAAACATAAACAAAATGAAGAAGTAGCACATTAACAGCGAGACCCCATGTGGATTCGTATCCATTCCCCACATATCAGTCATATCCATATTTTACAGTCAGATGTTCCTCAGACTTCCCAAGCGACAGAGAAGTAGGCAGCGATTTAAAATACCCCTATGATCAAATGTGACAACCGTTCTGTATCAGCAAAGCTAAAAGCATCCTACGTGGAGATTGCATATTTTTTTAAATTTATAATTCATGCGATTTCGTTTGAAGTGATAAGTCTGTCTGAATCAAATGTTTACTGCGTCAACTTGTGAAAAGTGCTTAAGTTGATAACGTTCCAAAAGGGAAAACATCTACCATAGCAACAAAATTGTTGAAAAATTTCTCCCTTCCCCCATTGTCAATGTTGGCAACAAGAAAATTGGACGGCCTGAGAAAAAAGTCGACATCCAAAGGGGAGCGAGGTGTCTCGACAAAACTTAACGAGGGACGAAGTACCGAAAGGTTACAACTTCTCATTTCGGCTCACATCCTTTCTGACGAAATTTGGCACGAAAGTTTTCGTTTCTGGTCCCAGCAATACCGTTGGGTTACGCAAAAGTTTATAAAAAATAAATTCATACCGCTTTCAAAATCAGCATCTAACTTACCAGAGTAACAACATCTAAAATGAAATCCGTCAAACGAAACACTTCAGACCAGCTTGTGACTGATACTTTTGCAGTAAATTCACACCCCTTGCCGTTGCAGTCTTTGCGGCCAGCTTCCGATGATTTGTCGCAGTCAGAGAGCAACTTTGCGATATATTCCCACATAAAGTAAGGCTCAAAGGCGTTGAAGAGTAAGTTTGCAGTTTTGATCAGTTCATCAATAAGCTTTGTCTTTGCAGAATCGGTTCTAGCCGCGCCACTTTCAACAGCTACATTGTCAAAAGAATCTTTTCGATCAGTCTCTTCAAATGCAGCGCCATTTTCTTTGAGAACTTTACATTGACTATACAACGCTCTAAAAACATCAAGTAAAACATCTTCTAAGATAGATCCGCCAATTTCAGGTTTGTCCAAAAGACTGATTAATATTCGAAACGGTTTCAGCACTTGTAGTCTTTGCAATTTTTTAGCACCATTTGTGGCTTCTCTATCGATACTCGTTTGAGTTTGGAAAATCTTTCGCACACCTTCGATCACAAGCGGCCTCGAATGCATGCTGAAGAATGTCTCTTGGGGTTCTTCAGGATCTGCATCGTTACTGCAAACACTATCAGTTCTGGAAGCAGATTCAGTCTTGGCTGAGTTTGTTCCTAAAAGCCACGTGTACAGCCGCCTATTTAAAGACATGTCTCGTCGTAACAACACCTCTAAACCGGAAGCCACAAGCGTCACTTTTTCGTTGGACGAAAGATATGTCGTGTTCACCGGAAGAAAAAGTAGAAGAAAATCAAGCATATTCCGCTGGACTAGTAGACTGTTGTCTCTTAATGCAGCGCTGACTGCCTGCACCTGTCGTGTTAAAGAATCAGTGAAAGGATTAGTATTTCTGAAATGAATCTCAGAGCAACTTATTCAAACGGAGTCTATTGCAGGTTAGACAACCAGTGAAGCGAAGAACTTCTTAACAGAACTGTCAAGAAACTGTTCACGAAAAACCACTATTTACAAAAAGCGTTTGACTAAGTTACAGGTTGGAGCAAAAATTTACAAAGCAACTAGATGTACCAGGCTTTGTTTAACACTTTGAACCCTAAGAGTGACCAGAAGCTAATTTCTCCTTACATAATACTGCTAATCATTCATTAAAATCGTGAGAATATGGGAAATGGTCCCCAACAATAGAAAACTGCATTATTAAACAAATTCTCCATTCCAAAGGAAATGAATGTATGGAGAATATGCATACTGATGCTTAAGTCTAAAGGGTCCAGTAACCAGCCTTAACTTTTCAACTGAATAATGTAATGAAATATATAAAATTTTACTGCCTTTAGCATGGCGGTCAAGCTCAAAATTGGACAATCAAGGCAAGGTTAAAATACCAGCTGGGCTATTTTACATGAGTCAAGTAGGGTGCCAAACTCACCCCATACTAGGAGGCCCACTGATTAACTTAGGTGAGAAAATAAATTTCAAAAAAAAAAAATTCAGCTTTGATATTGAAAGATACTTACCAAGAGTGGTATATCATTTCCTAAGATATACTTTTGCTTTCCTGCTCCCTTCTTATTCAGCCGCGTCATTATAAAAGTGACAGCGGGCAGGCGGATACTTGCTGATGAATAAACACATCCCCAGAGAGTAGTGTAGAAAATATTCTTGTCTGTGTTCTCACTGAAGGAGCCTAGGAGTGAAATAGTCCTAGTTGGAAAAAAAAAAGAGATTAATGCTTTAAACCCTAAGAGTGACTAACATCTAATTTCTGACTACAATATCACTCCAGAATTACACATTAAGGTCACCAGAATAAGAGAAAAGGTCACCAGGAAGGAATATTTTGATTGGCAAAAAAATTATCCTTGTTGGCACCTTGGGAAACGTGTAAAGAACTGTGTGGAAAATTTGCATACTGATGTAAGCATGTAAAGGGTTAACCAGTATATTGCATATTAGTTTACATCAAATGTTTCTATAAAACCCAGAAAAACTGTTTAATTTGTTTATTTTTTGTACCCATTAAGGTCACATACACATAATGTCCAATAACAAGGAAATTCACTGCAAACTAATCGAACTTTGCATCACCATCACCAGCACATCTGTTAATTACAGATAAATTTCTAACCTTAACACACTTGGATCACTGAGTTTCCAACCTGGGGGATATAATTTTCATTATGGCTAAACATGTTTCTGAAATATTTCTTACAGCAAAGTGAGGGCTGATGTTCAAGACAACAGCTTGAAAAACTCCTTAAAGTGGCCAATGAACATTAACAAATTAAATAAAACCTTGATTATCCATTGACAAACCTGTCAGTATATTCAGATCCTTCTTCAATTCCTGGCAAAAGACCCAACAGAAGCCCAGACAGTCCTGGGAGCAAGGCTTTACCAAGAGGAAGGAAGTAATTCTCATACATGTTCATCAAAACTGGCCTTGTTGACATAGCAGCATTTCCCAGTAAGGGAAAAAGTCCAGCACTATAAATGAATAAATCTTGTGCCAGACCTTTGTGACCAATGCGTTTGAAGATGAGTTCATATGTTTCCAGTGCTTTGAGATGCACGCCACTTGGTAGAGTGGGATGCATGCATTGAGCAAGTCTTTTTCCAATGGTGAGCTTTCTTGGCAACACTTTGAATTTTGTGTGATTTTGTAATACCTAAAACGAAACAAGATTTATTTTTTTAAATAAAAGGCAAGTGATTAAGATGTGCTTTATTTCGTGTGCCTTAACCCTTTGATGCTACAATAAATATGCATATTCTCTATACTGTTCTCTATACATTTCCAAAGGTGCTGATAAGGAGAATTTGTTTAACAATCTGGAGCTTCTCCAGTTGATTGTTTTCTTTATTTTTGTGACTTTAAGGGGTGATATTGTACGAAGAAATTAGATGCTATTCGCTTTTAACCCTTTCGTTCCCACAAGTGACCAAAACAGAATTTCTCCTTAAAATATCAATACAATATCAAGCAGGTAGGTGATGAGAATAGAGAAGATTATCACTTATGGGAATATTAGTTGATCCAATACCAAATTCTCTGAACTAAGAAAAGGGTTAAGGGTCAAAGGGTAGAGCAACTATGGAACTCACATGATGATGTAGTATTCAAAATGTGTGTTTTAAACATTCAGTGATCAAAGTTTCTTGGACACTACTTTTTGTATGACTAATAATAAGCCAAATGCAGTGTTGTATCAATAGACCTCTTTAGCTTGCATGTCTTGTAAACCCATTTCAGGTCATGTGATATTATACACTAGAGAACTGTTCCTTTCAAATGTTCACTTATTCACATGTATATGTGTGCATAATTTACTAAAGATAAAGCTGGGAATTCCCTTGAGACTGAAAAATGGGTAAACAGAACATACAAACTAGCTCTATTACGACATTTTTCAAGTAGCAGACCACTGAAATATTTACATGGCATTCAAATGTCACATTCTGTGTCAGTATCATCGTATAAATTTCACCCATTATTTTGCCTGGAATTTTAGCTGTTTGATACAAAATTTTAACAACTACATTGCTAATTGGAGGTTGGATGCCTGAAACATCTAGGAGCTTCCATTATTAGCAGCCAGCTCCTAGATGTAGACCTCTCCCATGGCTGGCAAATCCTCGCAACCCAGCCATGAGCCCCCACACAGGAAAGGAAAACAGGCACCCATCACATTAAATATACTGTAGAAAGAGGGAGGGGAGGGGTAGGGAAAACTGCCTGGACGATGAGCTGCCACTCCTCACAACTCAGCAAGTTCACCCTCAAAGCACATGCAAGAACGCCTCAAATGAAGAGCACATGAAATTCCAACATGTGCACATATGCGAAAAACTCCTGACTACTAGAAAATGCTAATACTCTTTGTTATTAACTCTGTTAAATAGTATTTAGCTAAACTGCAGATTACCCGGCCACTTTGGTCCACCTCACTTACATGTGTCGGGAGGCTTTGAAGATCAAGGCATAACACAATAGACACTATTCTTATTCAATGACATGTGAATGAGTGGCCAGGTATTCTGCAGTTGCTCCTAGTATTTTACTGCATGATAAATGGCAGTCAAAAAAATAATTGTCATTTGGGCTTAGATCTTCTGGCAGATTTGCTTTGTTAGTGCAAAAGTTGACAACATTAAAACATTAAATGTGATTGACTAATAAATTTAAAACAAAGTGATACATTCCTCTTGATATGCTTCGAAAAAATTTACTCAACACTGATCATGAATCTCACATGCAGGTATCAACAACCAATTATTTGCAAATATATTCACGGACAATTAAAATCAAGAATTACAATGATACAGAGAACCTGCATTTGTTTTCAAAGCGAATAATAATACATCTAGAGGTGAAAAGGTTAAATGTACCTTGTTTAACTTTCCAAGAGCAGAAATAAGATCTGCCCACTCGCTCGAATATTCGAAGCTCCTCAGTGCCTTTTCGACAGCATTGATAAATTGACGGTACTTGGAGTCAGAAAGCAGTTCCAGTTCTTCAGTATTCATTGTTTGCCAAGGGATTTGACGTAAATTAAGAATGATCGGCTCCTTCTTGGACTTCGTGAATTTGGTATAATTTGACTTCTTTGATCAAGTGCCAATTTCATTTAAGAAAATATTGGTATTCATTGTGATTATACTACAAACTAAAATCCCTAGAAGACTATAATATACCAGTTATTTGAACATTCGATGATACGATATTTCGATATTTGACTTATCAAGCGTAGTTACCGCCATGGTAAGGAAACATCCGCAATGTATCACCGAGTGACGTCATCTGATGAATGATTCGAATTTGCCTTCGGTCGCTGTTTCAGAACGTAATATAACTAATGAAAAAAATTAATCGTTCGGATATTTTCAAAAAGGCTTAGTGAGATAACCCATCTGTTGCCTAAGGGTTATGTAACGATCTGAAATTTATACCGATGGATAACCTCTAAAATCCCCTTTCTCCGCCATCTTGCTTCAGAAGTGTCTCGGCGAGGCTGCCAAGCGTTGTGTTCGTGGGCTCAGACAGCTTTGATAATAAACGTTCCAACTGGTTCCCTCTCTGAACCTTGGAAACCGAATTGTTTTCGATTGTAGGCTTTAAATGTTGACAACCGACTGCAAATATTTTCAGTAATAACTGTTTGATCGTAAGGTTCCGAAATGGAAGATGGAAATGAAGAAGTTATCCTACCAGGAACAGATATTCCCAACGAGACGACGGAAGATAAATTGTACCCCCAAATACAACACATCGAAGATCGTAGTACAGATACCAACCTGAAAGTCGATGAAAATTCCGTGGGAGCAAACTCTTCTGCTGTGCCACTTTCCGGTTTTAATTTTTGGGATGTGAACAGTTACAAGAGAACTGTGAAGCGAATCGATGACGGTGCCAAACTTTGTGATGATCTTTCGAAACTTTTGGTGGAAAGGGCAGAAATCGAAGGACTGTATGCCTCAAAATTACAAGGTATCTTTTAACGATCTGTAACGACTTAAGTTCGTTGATTCTTAACATAGCAACAGACTATTGGAAAATGGACAAATTGGGAGCAGTTTTGTGGAGTACCTAAATGTGTTCCTTTTTCAGGTTGTTGTGGCCTGAGGCGTTGAATAAAATTTTGCGGTCAATATTTCATTCAATTTGTTAATACGTTGTTCAAGGTCTTGTGTATTCACAGTTTATTAATAATTAAATACATTTGACGATGAAATGGTGCATTATATTTTCAATTAAGTTTTGCTTACCTTTACCGAAAGTTCATTAATCCCTGAATTTAACAGTTGGAATAATAAGGCATTGGGAGTAATCAACAATGATTTAATGAGCTCCTCTGGTCTTAAAAGGTTGGCGACCAGGAGTTAGGGGCTCTCTTTAGAAATTTGCATTAATACCGCCCACACGGGGGATGTATACTCAGTATAGTTCTGTGAGCAGGTGCACAGTGTGATCTTGTTGTCTTCAGCTGGAAGCTGTTGGAAGTGTTGAAAGTTTCCGTTATTGTGATAAACTACAACTCACGCAAATCATCATATGTGACAATAAACCAGAACATGAGAGAGGTACTCATGTAATTTTTTATATTTTATGTTCTCAACAACAATTTAAATTCTATTTTATCAATTGATGGTTAACATTATTTAAAACAGCTATCAATAATTGGAATAATCTACAGTGTTTATTTGATTAAGCTCCTCATGCACTTAAATTCTTGCAGTTTGAGAGAAGACACTTATTCACGGCTGGGAGCTTATTAAGTTCTCACCGTTTTCAGCAAGTAGTATTAGTTTTTCTTGCAACAAAACAATAAATGATATCAAAACTTTAAGACCAGTACTATAGACAGTGAATTTAGAGATTGTTTGCCAGTAAAGAAATAATAGTCAATACTCCTCTTGTGCACTTCAGTTTTTTTGTTTGTTT